TTTATTATTGTTGTTTTTGTTTGTTTAGTTTTTTTCAAAACAGGACTTCTCAGTAGCTTTGGAGCCTGTCCTAGAACTCACTCAGTAGAGCAGGCTGACCTCGAACTCACAGAGTCCACCTGTCTCTGCTTCCTGAGTGCTGGAATTAAAGGTGTGTGCCACCACCAGCTGGCTGTATGAGACAAGGTTTTTCTGTATATATAGTCCTGGCTGTCCAGGAACTCACTGTGTAGCCCAGGCTGGCCTCAAACTCACAGAGACCTGCCTGCCTCTGCCTCCTGGTTGCTGGGATTAAAGGTGTGTGTGTGCCACCACCCAGTGCTCCTTGCTGTGATAAATTTTGGTGCCACCCCACCCCCCCACCAAACCCCCGTGTGTGGAATGATTGATTGACTTGAACTCACACGACTGTCCAAAGAGCCCTAGGAAATAAGGACTTCTTTAGGACATCTTGGGTACCAGAAAGGAAAGGGAGCAACAGGAATCTCTCCCAAAGCTCCTTCCTTGTCCACCAGCAGGGTGGAGAGGTCCCAAGGAAAAGGGAAATCATGACATCTCAGACTGGCGGTATTGGTGAGCAGGGACACATACACTCCCATGCTTACTTTTTCTTCTTTCTCTCTATCAAGCCCCGTTTGCCTCTCCTTCGCAATATGTCACAAGCAGCAAACAGGCTTTCTCAAAAGCCTGTTACCTCTACTTTCTCACTTTGGCTTTTAAACTGCTCTACTGTATTGGGGAATTCTGTGTCTCCTGAAGTTCACATTCAGGCAGAACAAATGAAAGCTTTACTTAAAGGGATTGGAGCTAAAGTGTCATTAAGACAAATTTATTGGCTTGGCTATTATTAAAATATATTGTCTCTTGTGTCCTAACCATAGGGTACTTGATTCAGGAGTCTTGGGAAAGAATTGTGACCAGTTGTATTGCTCTATACTGCTGGTTGAACTAAAACATTTAATGCTTTGGAACCAGGTTAGTTTAGCCATATAGCCTTTCCAAAAGGAAAATGAATCTCCCAGGAATGTCTCCTACTGAACCTCATGCACCTCCTTTCCCTAATTCTCTGCCAACAGGTAATATAATAAGTTGTCCACATCAGAGCTAGGCAGTGGTGACACAACTTCCAATCCCAGCACTTGGAAGGCAGAGGCAGGTGGATCTCTGTGAGTTTGAAACCAGACTGGTCTACAGAGTGAGATCCAGGACAGCCCCAGGGTTACACGGGAAAACCCTTTCTCAAAGAAACAAAGTAAAATAAATAATCCCTGACCAAGGATTCCATTTGCCATATACAAAGATCTCACAAAGTGTGTTATAGTGAGTAGGGTCCTAACCATTTCACTAGAGGAATGTTATTATGACAAGCCCTTATAAAAACAATTCTCTCCACTGCTTAATACAATCTATGGCCCATAGAGTGGATGGACAAATGCCTGCCCATTGCTTCACACAACCAAGGCAGCGGCCACTTGTAAATGTTACTTAATGGCCAATTAATCAGACAGGGAAACTTTGAAACTGAGGCTCAGCCACTTGGCAGCCTCAGCTACTACAAGGGTTAGGACCAATGTTGCTGATCCTAATACTCCTTCAGGGTCCTTTTCTGCCATCAGACAAAAGTCTGCAGAGCCTTGTTTGGACTTGGTTGATCATCTACACGGCAAGCTATGGAAAGACAGATAATAAAGAAGCTGCTGCCACATTACCTTTCATTAGCTCACAAAATGCAAATTCTGATTGCAAACAAACCATCTGTAGTTGCTAATCCTTTTCATACTATGCTGATCAATGAAAGCCCACCAAAGCATTGGCATGTAAGAGTGGGAGGCTCACACTCTGGCAGTAGCCTTGTGGCCCTCTGTGTCTCAAATGTGGAGAAAGAGACCATTTCTGAAAACAGTATAAACAAAACAATAGACTTCAGTATGGTAAACCCCCTTCCTTTGTAAAGATGTAAAGATTGTAAAGATGGTTTTGCTGCCCAGTCATTGTCCATCTAGAGTTGATAGTGAAGGCAGTTCAGTTTGGGGGAGCAAAGGATGAGTGCCGAGGGTGGATTGATGATACAGCAAAGCCCTTTGGTTCACTGCCTGTGGTCCCAGCGCCCTGGCCCTGGGCTGCCTCTGCAGGAGCCCAGAATCACAGGTTCTACACCTTGTACTTCTGCCTCAAGCCACCCAGCTCCACCCCAAACCTAAGACATTAAGAGATTTGATTACTAAAGTTAATTTTATATTAGATTTATCTATAATTAGGATATAAAATTAAATGTAATGGAAGAGGTGAAGAGGCTCCTCACAGATGTGTTGGAGCCCCTTCCAGCGAATGTTTTAACTTGATTTTAGTAGGTAAATCAGACTGGACTATAAGTTTTGTTTGCCCAGATTTTTTTCCTCTAGATGTCATTGATTCTGACTACATTAGTCAGATTCACATTATAGGTTATTCCCAGCTGCTCCAAGAAATTCCAGCTCTAACTCAATTGACAAAATTGACTATTAATCCTTATCTCACCCCATAGACCTTGCTAATGGGCTTAGCAAGAACTTGATTCCACAGGGCACACCAGACTCAGTTGGTGTTTTTGTCAACCAGATTCCCATGAAGGGCATTAGAGACACAGCAGCTGGTGTTTCCATTATAGTGAAATAATCCTGGCCTAATTGGCACATTGAATCCCTGGTTTTAGACATTCAAGAGTTGGTGACAAAAGTAATCCCCTACTTTTGTAAATATAGAAACCTTATGTGCAGTTTTCCAAAATCAAACTGCCATTTTCCACTTCTTAGTTTTATCTTTCACTTTCTCCCTTGTCTCAGGGGGATTGTGACAGCTCCTAAATATCCCTTTCCCTCAGGGCCAGGAGAAACACCTACCTAAGCATTCTTGGATCAAAGGTCTCCCTAAGTGGGGACAAACATAAGCAATTATGTCAGCTAATCTAAGAACCAACTTCAACCAGACCAGTGCTATTATCTATGTTCTATCTTCCCAAAATTCTGGCAAATGGAGGTTTTTATGTTATCTCCATGTTATTAATGACCATCTTCATCCTTTGGAGCCATCCAGTCTGGAGTCCCCTCTCCTATGTTATAGTTACCGATTTAAAAGATTGCCTTTTTTAAACTGTTCCATTACACCCTGATCATCAAGAATTGCTTTTACAGTGCCTCCATCAATAAGCAGGCGCCTATATCTCCCTTCCAATGGAAAGTACTTCTCCAGTTGCCAGTGGTGGGTATATAGTACTACCGCTAAAAGGGAAATACACTCTATTAAACACAAGTTTTCTGACACTTAACTACAATTTCACTATATGGATGATATCCTATTAGCCTCTTATTCTAAAGTGTATATGTAACTTTTCAAAAGGATTTACACACTTCAATACAAACCTTTTTTCATTTACAGCTTGCCCTAATTCAGCTAGGTGTTCCATGCATCTGTCTTGTAAATTGTCCATCATTCTTCCATTAAACCCGGTTGATTACAATGGTCTGTTCCCAAAAAGATAATATTAAATTCTTTTCAGTAGCTCTTGGGCAATATCAGTTTGCTTTGGCCTTCCTTGGTGGGAATTCTCAAAGTGACTTTTCCATCTTTTTGCCTACCTTACAAGTCTTAAACTCACCTCCTTCATTAATTCTTTTTGCATTACAGTCCATTTAGTGGCTTGTCCCCTGGGAGGAGGACAGCTTAGATTTATGCTCTCTGTTTATCTTGAACACTTCCCTTTCCCTTGCAGCAGGATTCACTCCCCTTTCAGCCATTTTACAATGGTTGTTTCTTCTCAATATACCTAAAACTTTTTTTTGTTGCTTGTTTGTTTTAATCCCAAACCAACAATGACTTATTTAACAGGACAGAACCAGAGTTGTCCAACTTACTGGATAGACTTACTAGACAAGACCCTGATTTTTGTTGTATTGTTTTGTTTTTCAGAACAGATTTTCTCTGTGTATCCCTGGCTGTCTTGGAACATGATCTGTAGACCAGGCTGGCCTTGAACTCACAGAGATTCACCTGCCTCTGCCTTTCAAGTGCTGGGATTAAAGGCATGCACTACCACTGCCCATAGACCCTGGGTTTGTGTTTTTGGTTTTTTTAATCCTTCTAGATCTCAAAATAATTTCAACTTTCCTTTGCAGACCTCAGAAGAGTGGCAAATAGCTTTTTATTTTTGAGGACAAAACTTTTCATTCCCTCCTATAAAGATTCTATAGGATTCTATTATCTCCGTATAAGTCTTTTCTCCAACAAGTACACATCCTATTTCTAACACACTAACTGTTCTTTGTTAGGCAAAAGGCAGAGGGCAGGGAGCGGAGGATTCATATTTGGGCTGGCTCTTGGTCAAACTACTCCTTCTTTTAGTACATTATTGACGTGAATTCGTGGGTGACAAACCTGAACTGTGGTGTTTGGTTTTTGCCCCCCCCCCCCCCTGGGTGTAGGCTCCCTGCCTGCCTTAGAGTCATGAGGTTAGGGAATACTCAGGCCTCCTCAGCTGGCGTAGGTAAGGAAGAGCTGCTGCGGAGGGGCCGTGCTGTGACTGCATCACTGGTGGCTGATGAGGATGGACTTTGTAGCAAAGACTGTACTTGTGCTGTGAATTCTGCAGGCGGGGATGGAGGTCAGGATCCCAAAGAGGGAGCATTCCGCTCGGTTCATTTACCTGTTCTTATATTTACTGAGCATCTACCGTCCACTGGAAGCTAGGGATAAAGCCATAAGGCAGACATGATCCCAGGCCTTGTAGGGCCCTGGATGTAGAGGAAAGAGGAGTCAGGAGGACAAGATGCCAGCCTGGACTCTGTATTCCTTTGGTATAACCTTGGGTAACTGGTAGCTCCCCTAGAAGCCTCAAGGCCACCTGAGCAAACGATGTGAGTGCAACCTCACCTGTAGGATCAGACACAAGAAGGCAGTGCAGGCGCTTTGTAAAGTACTGTGCTGTGGTTCTTCCCTCACCCTGCTTATACCTGTTCTTCCTGCAGACTTTCCCAGAAGCTACAGGACAGGCGCCTGGAGCACCCCCAGGTGGCTACTACCCTGGACCTCCCCACGGCGGGGGCCAGTATGGCAGTGGACTTCCCCCTGGTGGTGGTTATGGAGGTGCTGCCCCTGGAGGGCCCTATGGATACCCCAGTGCTGGGGGACTCCCCTCTGGGACTCCAAGTGGACCATATGGTGGTGTACCTCCAGGGGGCCCCTACGGTCAGCCACCTCCAAGTTCCTATGGTGGCCAGCAGCCTGGACCTTATGGACAGGGTAAGTAGAACCTTCAGCTCTGGAACCCAATGTAGATTATCTACCTGGTCTACGCTATCCATATCCCATCCTTGTCCTTCCTGAAGATGTGCATGTACCCCAGTCTCTGGCACTGTAGCCCCTTGCTTCCTGCTTTGCCTAACTGGCAGAATGAGAAGCCCGTCAGTTAGCTTGTCTGGGCCAACATTCCCAGAGTCCTCTTGGCTTACAACCAACATTTATTTCTGCTGCTTGCTCATTCTTGCTCATGTGTTAGCAACGTGGGTTGCCAGCTGAGTTTCTGCTCCATGTGTCTCTTCATTCTGGGATCAGTGGGGAAGGAGCACCCTCTTTGGAGCATGTTGTCCTTAGGGTGGAGAGAAAGAGTAAGAATCTAGCTGGGTTGGGCAATAACTCTTCAGGTTCTGCTCTGAAGTACTGATGTCTCATCTACTTGTGTTCTTTTGGCTGAAGCACATCCCGTTGTCGAGCCTGACCCCAGCTGGAGATGGTGCTCCTTGAGCTACCAGACGGTGGGAGAGGGTGTACAGTGCTTGGATCAGAAAGGGGGATCCTCAGATAATTGGAGACAGCAGTGTAGTCTATGGGAGAAGAAACTCCATTCCTGTAGGAGGGTAACTGGCCACATCTGTGGAAAGAAAAGATGTATCAGTAGTAAAAGCTTTTCAGATCAGACACTGACCTGCCCAAACTGCCTCTTTAAGCTTCAGTGTCCAGCTCTGTAAAATAGGGGCTGTGTACTGGGCATGGCATCTGAGCTTGATGGACAGTACTCAGGGAGAGACTTGTGACAGTGCAGGAGAATACGGTGTTTAATGTAATGGTAGCTGTGCAGGCAAGAGCATGGCAGAGAAGGGGAAGGAGCAGCAGGCTGGAAGGGAGGTGTTGGGAAGACAAGGAGGGCAGAGATCGAAGAGCCTCTTGGCAGAGGGCTGGGAAAGTGGGTGCCAGTCCTTGCTTTTCCCGGATTCCCTTCAGTCAGCTCCTTCACAGAGGGCCTATTCTCAGGGGGCCCAGCACCAGCTAGGCAGCCAGGAACTGCTTTGGCCCATGAGAAGGGCCTCCAGGGAAGGCTGTGCTTAGGAAGCAAGCAGCATCTGAATGGATGTACCCAGGCAGGTGGCCCTGGGGGAGACGCCCAAACCTCTGGGGTTCTGAGCACAGCCAGCAAGTGGCATTTATCTTCTCAGAGCCCAAGCATCTGCCCGTTGGCTTCCGGCTCAGCGGCTCAGTGGCTCTGCCGTGGATTTCCATATCCAAAACCTTGTGTCTGAGCTCATAGGAAGTCTGCAGGGAAAGGAGCTCCTGACTCTGCCGCCTGGTCCCTAGGGCCTGAGAGTGGCAGTAGTCTCCAGAGCAGGGGAAGGAAGGAGGGGCTAGCCCCACATGCTCAGGTTCCTTTTGCCACTTCCTCTCATTTGGCTGCATGGCTTCCTCTCCAGGGTGGCTAGCAACATCTGGGAATGGTACTGCATACGTCCTGATCTATGCGACACTTGCCTTAGCATCCTGGGAAGGTCCACCTCCAGGGTTCAAGTACTAGTATACTACTGTAGGTGACAGATCTGACCACTTGAAGTGCTCCTGATTGCAGAAAGATCCCAGAGGGCCTCTGGCTGTCGCATTTGCCATCAGCCCTTGCTGTCCACCCAGCAGAGATGCTTAGAGCACTGTAAATGCATCCTGAGCCTTTGCTGCCTTCTCCTCCCCCACAGCTCCTCATTCCTTCAAACACAACTGAAATAACCCCTTCTCTGAAAATGCCCCCTCCACCCACTTTCCAGCCTGTGCTAAGGGCTCCATCTTGGTGTTGTCTCAGGTAATCCTTCCAACCACCCTGGGAAGTAGGTCATTTTATAAATATGGAAATTGGAATTCAAAAAAGTTAGTTACCTCACCTGAAGTTGCACAGCTAGTAAAAACCAGTCCTGACGGGGACTCCAGGTCTACCTTGACTCTAAAGCTGAATCTCTGTACGAAGCACATGGGCACACGTGTCACAGAAACTTCTCCCTCCCCAGTGACCCTGCTTGTTCTGGTGCGGTTTCTGAAGAACTCCATGACCAAAAACGACTTAGAAAAAGAAAGGGTTTATTTGGCTTACAGGTCACAGTCCATCATCAAGGGAAACTGAGGCAGGAAGCTTAAAGCAGAAACCAAGGAGGAGTGCTGCTCGCCACCTTGATCTCTTGCTCACTCCCTGGTTCACGTTCAGCACAGGCCCACCGGCCTAGGGATGGTACTGCCCACAGTGGGCTTCTAATCAGCCGCCAGTATGACAGTGCCCCACAAACGTGCCCACAGGACACTCTTAAAGGGAATCTGCACCCCAAAACCAGTGCCACGCCCGTGGAGTTCCAGAGAGCTAGGCCTGGAGCCCTAAGTCTCAGAAGCAGGGGGTCTGACTTCTCTTCCTCCCCACAGCTTCAAAAAACAGCGTATCTAGAAAAAACAGGTTCTGCCCCTACTGTCCACTGCAAACACTGATTCTCAGATCTTGTATGGTGGGCATGTTTTCCTGGACCCTCAGAGGCCAGCCTGCAGAGTTTGAAGGCACCTGCCTCAGGCTAGTGGAAGTCCACCGTGTGCTGTCACTGTTTTGAGGTCACACTGAGTGTCCTTTCCTTTTCCTCCGCTGTCCTGTCTCATAGAGCTCTGACCTGAGCAGTCCTCAGTTGAGGCCATTTGTGTCAAGTCAACAGTAAACACACCCGGTGCACTGTTGTTTAAGGTGGGCAAGCTGGCCTGGGTCTCCACATTAGACTTTCAGTCAGGCAAGCTGGCCTGGGTCTCCACATTAGACTTTCAGTCAGGCAAGCTGGCCTGGGTCTCCCTTCCACTTCTCTTCTGGCCTCACCTCTGGGTCTGCCCTCCACACTGCCGGTGCCTGTTTCTGACAGCTTCTTGTGTGCAGAATCCCCTTTTGTGGCAGTAACCCTGCTTCACTAAGACAGATGGCTCCCCAACTTTGTCACTCCGTCCCTCGGGCCATTTACAGGGAGTCCGGGCTGTATGGGAGGGGGTGGGAAATGTAAAGTTAAGTTGAGAAGTTATTGGGACACTGTACACAAAGTTTGGCAGGACCTTGCTGTAGAAGTCCACCGCAAGCCTTCATGAGGTGACACACGAGCCTCTCTCAGAGAAGGGCATGGACTTGGAGGAGGTTAGATAGGCAGACCTGTAAGGCTTTCTGGGTGGGTATTCTAGTTTGCCCTCTGTTGCTACTGGTAAAACCCTGATCAGGGAGAATCCAGGGCAGGAAAGGGTTAATTTCGGCTTATAGGTTGTAGTCGGTCATTGACATGAACTGGGAAGCAGGAACTGTGGAGGAGCACGGTTTGCTGGACCACTGTTTGCTGGCTCGCTTGCAGGCTTACACTTAGTTTCGAAAACAACCGGGCCACCTACCCAGGGAATGGTGCCACCCACAGGTTAGACCCTCCTACCCATGTTAATAGTCAAGACAATCCTCACAGGACAGTCTCATCTGGGCAGTCCAACCCTTCAGCTGGACTCCTTCCTCAGATGACTCCAGGCTTCATCAAGATGGCAGTTGCAGATAACTAGAACAGAAAGGAAAGTCTGGCCAGGGAGATGCCCAGAATGGCTCCCTGGCATTTCACTGACCTGGGTCTGACTACAGTGGTTCATTCTTCCTCTAGGTGGTGTCCCCCCCAATGTGGACCCTGAGGCCTACTCCTGGTTCCAGTCGGTGGATGCCGACCACAGTGGCTATATCTCCCTCAAAGAGCTGAAACAGGCCCTAGTCAACTCTAACTGGTCCTCCTTCAATGATGAGACATGCCTCATGATGATAAGTGAGTTCCACGCTTCCAAGAGCATGCAGACTTGAGCTGGGTCCAGGCCCCCTGACAGGTGTCAGAAGTGGGCAAGTAGTCAGTCTGAGGAGAACGATAACCAGGGAGGAAGCGGGGCTTCAAGATGCACTCTTTACCATGGATCACTGTCAAGTCTAGGTTGCTAAGTGTCAGGCTGGTCCAGTTCTCCATTCTGCAGACAGACACTACCCTCCCTGGTAAGAAACTGCAGGGAAGGGGTCAGCATGGACCCCTGGAGCTAAGCTACTAGCCCTGCAGAATCTGGACGGGACGGAGAGCCACCAGGGGAAGGGCTGGTGCCACAGTTGGTCTGTCTCAGGGACAAGAAGGGCTGCCTCAGTGGTGCCCTTGGCCTTCAGTCTTGAAGCCTTCCTCTGACTTTTCCCTCCTCCCACCCAGACATGTTTGACAAGACCAAATCTGGCCGCATTGATGTCGTCGGCTTCTCAGCCCTCTGGAAGTTCCTCCAGCAGTGGAAGGGCCTTTTCCAGCAGTATGACCGGGACCGCTCTGGGTCCATTAGCTCCACAGAGCTGCAGCAAGGTGAGGCCATGGCGGGCACTGTGCACACGGCATTGCTTTTCATGTCTTAAAACACATTGCGGGGTTTCCTCTCACTGTCCAGTGCCCACCCATACCAGTCATTCCACCTGATGTGCACCCTGGCCGGGCTTTGATCCAGAGTCAGGCAGCACTGGGTGCAGATCCAGTGCTGGGCCCCCTGGGGACAGGACTCAATGGGAACTTGGAGAGCAGTGTGGTTTATTCTTATTGTCCCAGCGTGCGCATGGAAAAAGCCCTGTTTCAGGGCTCAGAGAAGTTCTGTTGCTCCTCAGCCAGAGGTGGTTTCTGAGACCCAGAGCCTTCTCAGATTTGTAGCTGGGAAAGAGGACCTGGGCCCACAGCTCCACATCTGGTTCCAATCTGACTCTGTAGGTCAAGCCTGCAGCCTGGGCTCAGGCCAGTAGGTTACTAGGACAGATGGATGATGTGGCCCTGAGAACCCACTGAGAAGTTCCATCCCCTCAGAGAGGGAAAAGGATGCCCAGAGAGTCCAGGACCTTTGTCCAGACCGAGCTTTTTATTCAGATGAGGGTCTGTGAGTGGGGGGTGAGCATGCCATGCCTGCCCTGCTGGAAGGGAGATGGTCAGTACCGAGCACTGTCTTGCCAGCTTCTTTGACCAAATGTTGCTGAGGTTGATAGCAACAACACAATTCGCACTTACTGAATGTTTGCTGTGCCCTAGGCACTGTACTAAGCATTGCAGCGGGTTCCTGAAATTCATTGTCCCAAGGGCTAGACCCTGTTGGCCATTGCACACAGATTGGTGAAGGATCCCTTCCGGTCTCCCTTTTATGAGGGACAAAAACTGAATCTTAGTTCCTTGCCCAAGGGCTCCCAGAGAGTTCAGATTGCTCCTGGGCAGGCAAGGAATGCAGACAAGGCAGGGGGCATCTCCGGGGGAGATGGGAAGTGGCGTGCAGGCTGTGGCCTCATATGGGGTGTGACTTTTCTTTCAAACAGGATACTGTGTGTGTACCCCCATGATTGCCTTTGATCCTTATTAGCATAGGTTAAGTATCTATCACCCTGCAGGAGAGGCAGTAAGAGGGGCTAAGCAGGGAAACCAGTGACTGCCTGCCTCCAGGACAGTTGTGACCCTCCTGCTGAAATCGTCTCCCCAGGTGGTTAGTGGCTCACACTTCCTTCTGCAACGCAGATGCATGAGATGGTCACAGGTAGATCGCTAGCCTCTCTGGGATCTCATGAACCTTGACAACGAAGAGATGCAGAGTGGCGTGGGGTATCCAGAGAGACCTGTGCTCCTGACATCTGACTGGATCACAGGACCTCTCTGTCTTCCTCATGCTTCTGAGCTGCCGCCCCCCCCCCCCCAGGTCCCCTGATCTGCCGTGCTGTAGTGCTGGTCTCACAGCAGGCTCTGCTTCCTGTGCCCTCCCTCTCTAGCTCTGTCCCAGATGGGCTACAATCTGAGCCCTCAGTTCACCCAGCTCCTGGTTTCTCGCTACTGCCCACGCTCTGCCACTCCTGCCATGCAGCTCGACTGCTTCATCAAGGTGTGTACCCAGCTGCAGGTGTTGACGGAAGCCTTCCGGGAGAAGGACACCGCTGTACAGGGCAACATTCGGCTCAGCTTTGAGGACTTCGTCACCATGACAGCTTCTCGGATGCTATGACCCAGCCACTCCAAGGGATGTGGCCTCTCTTCCTTTCCTCCTCTCCTAGCAAAGCCTGACCTAGGAAAGGACTGTGGAATGGCCCAGCCGTGGAGTAGGGGATGCTAGTGGTGGTAGTGGAGTTAGTGTCTGGCCACTGTCCCCTGGCCTCTGGCCTTCCCCTCTACTCCCTGATGCCAGCGCTAAGTGTCATCAGCTGGCCTCTTGTGGCACCACTGTCACCCCTCACCGAGACCCCCATGTCAGATGAGCCCAGTTTCTGCAAAGTGGAGTCGGGCTGAGCATGAAGGAGAGTTGCTGGGACCAGTGCCTGGGATTCCTCAACTCTGACCATCCTTGTGTGTTAGTTAGCATTAGTTTACCCGAGGCTTTGCCTGCTCCAGGAGCTTGGACAGTCTGCCATTTTGGCCATATCTTAGGAGGTTCCTGCCCTTCAAACCTTGGACCCCTCATTGGCCTGCCATGTTCCACTCAGCTTCAGTCCACAGGGGACAGTTACCACATCTTACTGCCAATTTTTTAATTTGCTTTTTTTTTTCTATTTGGGGCCAAAAGTCCAAAAAAAACAAAACTGTTAGCTTCAATAAAAGACTCCATAGTCCCATGTTTCCCAGCATGACTTCTCTCTTATGTGTTCATGTTGTCCACTCATTCACTCATTCAGGTAGGGAAACAACCATCGCTTACCCAGCCATGCAGAAGCAATAGTGCCAAGGGCCCCGGTAGACCCGGTGATCATCTTATTTGCCAGGGTGAATGAAGTTGGGGCTCTGCCAGGTTCCTCTGTGTCTGGGACCTGCCCGAAAGGCTGACTGTTTCTTCAACTTCTAGGGTTGCCATTCTGGGCTGGAAGCTGCCACCCCAGACTTCTCACAGCATGCTCTTTTTATTATCTTAGGCCTGAGTTTTATCTCTCAGATGAACTCCATTATGAAGCCATAACTCCCCCTACTTTTATTAAGCACAGACACCAGTACCTGCCAGTTATATTTCTAGATCAGCATGATACCCAGTCTGCACTGTGTCTATAATGAGCTGACAGAATTTCAATCAAAAGCTGAAGACACCAGACATTCTGGTTTGCGAGGGGGGCCTTATCACAGATAATGGTGTGATTATCCTCTGGCGTTGGGCGATGGAGATAAGAGTGTCGAGGCCTTCAGCAGGGCTGTCCTCCCTGCTGGTGGGGATGGAGAGTGGCTGTGACTTTTTCCAGGTCACAGAGGCCAGCAGGCTCGCCAGTCTCAACCAATTCAGCTCCTCCAGGCTGCTGTGGCTCCGCAGTCCAGAAAACAAGAGTCCAGAACATACCGGTCAACCCCTTCCATTTCTGGAGTTTTAGAGGGCCCCAGGGAGTCCGCCGGCTCTATTTGCCAACCTCCAGTAACCAAAAGAAAAGGGGGCTGGGGACTTTCCAGGTTGCTTGTTTTGTTTTTTTGACCGGTACCCAGTGTCTTTCTGTTCTAACTGGCCACTTTGGGAGCACCATCCCCTGGCCCTAGGTTTCTCTCTTGGGCTGGCCAGAGCAACTCCCTCCTTCCTGCATGCTGTTCTTCTGGATGTTGAGCCTACCACCACCGTCTCCCCCAACCCACCCCCAGCCCAACTTCCCTCATAGAGCAGGTAGCCCTGGGCTTGTCACATGCCCCTCACTGAGCATTACTCCTCTTGGCATGTTGGCTACCTCCCCAGAGTATGCTTGCTTGCATCAGCTCCCCAGGCAGAAGGCCCACCCCAGTGCTGGCTGCCTTCCACCAGCAGGGTAAGATAGAGCTGTGCTGCTATCATCTCTGCTCCCGCTGGAAGTCATCTTTGTTTTTTTATGTGGTTCACATGTTAGACAAGTACCCTACCATCCAGCTACACCTCTAGTCCCCAAACCCATCTTTACAATGGTGCCAACCACAATCTGCCTTATACTGGGAGGGGCTGCTGAGCGTTTGAGAGCTGGAGGATCCAGCCCTCATGCCTCACCCCAAGCACACCTGCCCTCACACTTGATGTGGATTCCAGGCCAATGAGAGCACAGTGGTTAGGACTGCCCAGTCTGCTGGCCACCTGCGGCCACCGGACTGCTGAGTCTGTAGAGCAGATGAGGTGTTTAACACCTAGACCTGATCTGGACAGAATGGCATGCCTACAAGGAGCCATGATGTCTAATCTCTCCTGGGCTGGTCCCCATGGCTCTGCTCCACTTCCTGACCAGTGAAGTCAAGGAAGCCTGTGGCTCCTCTGTGAACACCTGCTGGTGTGCTCACCCTCAGTGGCCTCGGCCAGATGTCCCCTGCTCCTTGTAGCAGAATGGAACTCAAGAATGTGCTATTCTGCTGTGGCAACAGGTGTCGAGGCCTTTTTGGCAGCCCTGTAATCGGCTCGATCACAGATGGAGCACGGCTGGCCAAATCTGTGACTTTCCCTTTGTATTCTGTGAGTTCATAGGAAATAAAGGAAGCCCTGATTTCCAAGAAGGCTGGGAACAGTAAATCTATCAACCCCACTGTCTGCCCATCTGCCTCCTTACCTTCCAGTCCAGAGGTCATCGGGCAGGGAACAGAAAGTGTGTCACAGAGATCCAAGTCCTGGGCACCAGACGCTGGGCACTCACTGCCTAGGCAATGTGGCCAGCAATCAGTTCATCTGAGGTGGGGGTGGGTAGATAAGAGCATTCCAGAGCCTTCTCCTCTTGCCATCCCCCAGATGCCCCACCTTCCACTACTAACCTGAGCAGCACAGATTTTGTGTAATGACAAGGAAAGGGAACAGTTAGTGCCAGGCTTTTAATTACAATTGCTTTGGGCTGCTGGCCTCCTCGCTGAACGGCCGCATGGAGACTGTTTAAGTGCTCCACAATGCCAACAAGATGCAGCCTGTGGTGTGTGCAGTCCACACCTGGAGAGGGTGGGCTGTGCTTCAGAACCCACTGAAAAGGGCTGGACCCGAATTAGTTCACAGAGACCTCAGAGCAGCTGGCTATATGCAGCCGGGGCTTCGGGTGGCCTCCGGGCCAGGTGACTATGCCTGTGGGGACCTTTGGAGCAGAGTCCAGCTGGGGAAGGCCTATAATTGAGTAGGAGACAGGTCTTTGGGAAGAAAGCTAAGCTCTGTCTGAAAGGGTGAGGTGACACTGTAGGGTGTAGCCAGCCACACGAGGCAGCCACACGACTAAGCATGTCCACAGCACTGATGGTTTACAGCGCTCTCTGCTTTCTTGAGTATGCCTATGCCTCCTATCAACCCTGCTTAGGGGACACAACCTCGGAAAGGGAATGGCTCTGGCTGAGTCACCCAGGCAGGAAGCCAGGACTGGAGTCACAGCCTCTCACTGAGCAGCAACAGTCTTCATGAGTGCTGGGGCCGCCGATCCCAGGCAAAGGACCGGGCTGTGCCTCCCAGAGCCTGGGCCAGGCCCCTGCTTAGGACAGCACTGTGGTGACGCTGGTCAGCAGGACATGCTCAGAGACTTTGGAGACAGAACACCGGCTCTGCAAGGACACGGACTTATGTCTGGCAGAGGAGCGGGAACCCAGACCAGGCAGGCAGCAGGCGAAGGCGGCCTTAAACTGCTCCCGAAATTTGCCTTGGTTGGGAGACAAAAGACACAGCCATAAGGGGACAAATGCAGCGGGAAGGGGTTTGAGCTCAAGGAACACCCACTTCCCCCACCCTCCAGGGCTCCAGGCAGTCAAAGCCACATGGTGGGGTAGAGAGGGAGGGGTAGAGCTGGGATGGAGAGCCCTGCCAGCCAGAGAGGGCAAGAAGCCCCCAGCGGGTTCTTGAAGCAAAATGCAATTGTCTTGATTCCTTGACTGCACTCTGGCTGGGAGCCTGGCTCAAGACGTGGTGTCTGGCTCAGGGGCCTCAGGTCACTTCTGCCCTCCATGCTGTGTATGTGAAGGAAGCTTGGGATTTACACTGTGGTCAGCCTCCCCCAGCTCTGTCCAGTGGTATTGAAATGAGAGCAGCGGCTATTGTAGGTGGCAGTCACCCTGCACCAGGGGCTGGGACAGTACTTCAGACTTCATCCCCCAGAGCATCCCCCACACCCTGCCAGGCCGTGTCTCACATCACAGATAAGAGGTGCAGAAGTAAATGGTTTACTCAAGGCCGCCCAGCTGGAAACTGAGCCTGAAGCTCTAACCCCAAGCCCATCTCTTAAAGGGGAGGGCAGAGTGGGAAAAGAGGGACCGCACAGCACTGTGCAGCTCATTTGTATATATGGGGGCAGGGGGCGAGCGACAGAGGTTTTCTTGAAAGCAAACACTCCCCAGTTGTGTCCCCAGGCTGCCATTCTCTAGTGTCCAGCTCAGGACAGAGCACACAGTAGCTACTCAGCAAGCACAGGCCAGGCAAGCCGTGTGCATCTGGGCGGCTGCCTGCTCTTTCCTCTGGAATGTTCCACTCTTCTGCCTAGGCAGCCTCGGTTGAATAACTTGAGTCACAGTGAGAATTACACTAGGGACCACTGACCCTATCTCAAACATCTAACTCCTTTTGAAAGAGACTGGGAGGAAGAGGGCATTGGTGGGAGCATTGGACAACATAGTGAGAATGGGACCAGGGGGCCTAGAGTCCAGGAAGAGAGAATGGAAATTTGCTTTGAGGCTCTTAGATCCAGGGGGTAGCCAAGATTCTGGCTACCCAACCCTGTGTCTGGCTGACTCTGCTGCTGACTGTCCCTTGTCCCTCAGTTAGTTTACATAATCCCTCAGTCAGGGCCTCCAGGGTCACTTCTCAGTCACAGCTCCCGCTAAAAACAGAGGAATTAGTAGGAAATCTTGCTGTGCATGCTCCATGGATTGGAGACGAAGGGCCAGGCCCTGTCCTTCCTCTGAGGTACTGGTCTGCAGGTTGGTCCGACTCCATTCTGGGTGCTAGTTACTGGCCATAGCTCAGATCGTGGCTCCTAGGAAGGGCAGTGTGTTCGAGTCTCCCTATGAGTGGAGGATTCCCAGGGAGAGCTAGAGAGCAGGTTCATCCTCTCGGACCAGCCTGAGATGGACTCTGGCCACCCTGAGTCCCTGCATGCAGCCCACTTACCACTGAGGAAGTTGTAGATGATGGGGTTGGCGGCACTGTTGGCATACACCAGCCAGTGGGAGAAGGTAAAGCAGGCATAGACGGCTTCCCGGTCGCTGGCTTGGCGGAACATCCCGAACACTCTGGCACCAGCGGGAAGGATGGTAAGAAGTAGGGACAGGTGGGCAGGGGAGGGTGCCCACAGAACTCTAGCTAGAAAGTGTAAGGGTCCTCATTGCTCATTGCCATCCATTTGGGGCACTTGGTTTGAGATCTTGACCACAATTTGGGGTACCCAAACATGGATTCTGACCAGAATGGGCCTTGGGACAGGGACCAATATGATCTTCTCAGTCTCCAGCTTTCTGACCACTTGCAGTCACCCCCATCTACCTTCTCACCCATCCCAACAGAAACAAGATGTCATAGACAGCATCCTTTTTTTTCCAGTTAAAGAAACAGACATATAGAAATACATGCCCAGGATCATACAAGCCAGGACATGTCCAAACCCAGTCTGGCTGCTGTGCACTGCTCTGTGACCTTCCACTGATGACCCATGACCCCTCATATGCTGTGTCCTTCTGCCTAAACTGCTGTCCTTCCATCCTGTGGTGCTTGCTCCTTCATGTCTGCCAAGTCTGTTCTCATGGGTCCCAGTCTCAGAGGTTGTTTTGAGAGAGGGTCTTACTGTGTAACTGAGGCTGGCTTTGAACTCATGATCCTCTTGCCTTGGCCTGCTGAGTGCTGAGATTACAGACACATACCTCCTTGCATCTCAGAGAATCCTTAAGTAGCAACAGTTTTTCTGAGACACCACCCTACCCCTGCAATCACTCTCTGACCTCTTCTGGTATTTCATTTTCCTTCATAGCTCTCACTGTCTGATATACACTGATTTTACTTCTCTCTCACTGGAGTGAAGCCTCTATGAAGACAGGGATTTTGTCTGTAATTTGTAGTCAGTCACCCTAGAACTTGAGAGCCAAGGGCATGGAAGAATGGGTTTTCCTAATTGCCCTTGGAGGCAGGCCTGATACCCGCATGCAACACTAGAGAAGATAGAAACAGCAGAGCAACCCCCAGGGTGGAGAGGAATGGGCTGAATGGTAGCCTTCCTCAGACCACAAAGCCCCTCCCCTCCCCACATGTTCCCCTGTGTCCTCACCTCTTAAGGACATTGAGGACACTGATGGGCAGGTAACAGAGTGCAAAAACCAGCAGAACCACCATTAGCATCTTAGCCGTCTTCCTCCGAGCTCGCATCTGCTTCACCTCAGCCAGGAAGGCTCTGGCCCGGGGTTGTGGCTCTGTCCACAGGCCCTGGCGCTGAGCCTCTAGTTGCTCTGAAGGTCGCTTCCAGTTCCTCACCAAGGCTGATGTGGTACCAGGGATCTAACACACACACACACACACACACACACACACACACCAGCAGTGGTCTGAACCCTCCTGCCTGCTCTCCCTTCCTCAGTTCTTCATTTTTGGGATGAGGTGGAGAGCTGAGTCATGAAGAGATGTCCACGTCACACTGTGGGGAGGCCTGGGAGTCAGGAGAGCCTCAAGGATGGCCTGGACATCAGGGCATGGCTCTCCACCAAGAACCACTCAGAAGCCTGAGTAGTTCTGGACTCCTGGATCAAACACATACTGAAAGCCCCTCCCATCACTGGACAACACAATCACCCCACAACCAAGAGGCATGGAGCAGGAATGCAAGAAACTAGAGTTTAGAAGCTGCTCACACATTCATAAGCGGTGTGGTTTCTCTAAACCTTTGTTTCTTTAACATAGACCTGTCACAAAGGGCTTTAACGGGGGCCTTCCTACAAGGCAGGTCCTGGGTTTAATGTAACCCATTGCCCTGCATGGCCTAGGTGTGGGTTAGCACTGGGACAACCCAGACTGTCGGTGTTATGGAGACCAATCAGCCATGTGGCTCATGTCCTCCTCCCTGCTTGGATACTGACCAGGACTTACAGCCACCAGTGCAAATGGCTCTTAGTATCCATTATCCCATGAACGCTACCCTAGAAAACCTATTGGTCCATGTAATGAGAAGAAAGCCATGCCTGGAAGGAGCTGGCCTCCATGGCCTCTGTAGTTGGTTGCCCCTAACACTGGGAAATGGGCAAGACCACCTCTTCCTTAGCTAGCTAAGACACTGGGCATGAGGCCTAGCTGGACGAGCTATTTGGAGCTGCAATGGTTAATGTTCTGCTACTAAGATGAGCATTGGAGCATCAGATTTGGGTTCCAACTCCTGCTTTTCTCCTGACTAGCTGAGTGCTTTGGAGACATTGTGTCACTTCTGTGGGTGTTTTCTACCATATGTGGGGGGGGGGGGAGAAAGATATGATACGTGGGTTAAAGCTGACTATAAATCCTAGCTACCCAGGAGGCTGAGGCAGGAGAATTGCAAGCTCAGGCTAGTTGGGTCAACTTAGCAAAACCATGCCACAACATTTAAAACAGGAAGGCGGAGGGCACAGGGTCAGGGAGAAAGGGTCTGGGGATACTCTTCAGTGACAGCACACTTGTCTAGCATATGGAAGGCCCTGGATCTCTCAGTACCAAAAGTTGACTAATCGATTAATTAATTAAAAGAGGCTGTCCCTGGGCCTGGCCTCTCTGTAGTCACAGCATGAATAACATATTCCAATGTCAGGGACGACAGCTGCACCCTTTGAAGCCAAGACAGTGACACCAGAGTTAGACTCACCTGGCGGCCCCAGAGCTTGCGGCAGATCTGGAAGTAGGCCATGGCCATGAGGCCCAGTGGGGCCAAGTAGGTAACAATAAAGAAGCAGCTGTGGTAGATCTTGGGGTAGAGTTCATCTGTAGGGTTCATGACATGCAAGAGTCAGGTCTATCCTAGGAGTCCCAGTCTGCCTCAACAAAGCCACCCCATTTCAACAAGGACCAAAGCAAGACCTGGGAACAACTGTATTTCACATAGATACCATAGCCTAGAATTGCCCAATCTAGTGGCATCATCCTGGAAGGAACCCCAGCAGATGCTCACACTAGAGGAGATGCCTACCCTGGGGATACCCACCCTGGAAGTCCCCTGTCCTAGAGGTATGCACCCTAGAGGTGCCCACCATTACCTGCCCAGTGTTCATCACAGACGGAGAAGAGCCTGGTACGATTGGCTAGCTCAGGCAGCACACTGTTGCACTCCATGACCGCGGCCTGGGGCACCATGATGGCCAGCGACACAGCCCAGATGCCCAGAATGGAGCCGCGGGCCCGGCGAGCTGTGCTCTTGAACAGTAGCGGGTGGCAGATGGCATACCAGCGGTCCAGGGCGATGAAGCTGAGAGTCAGCACGGCCACCGACACGGACACGGCCTGCCCCGTGGGGACATGATGTCAGAGGTGGGGAGGGGAGCAGTTCACAGCCCAGAGCTGCTGGTGCACACTGTGACTCCACCACCACTTTCAGACTGTGTGAATTTAGGCAAGTCACTCACCCTCTCTGAGCCTTATCTGCAGAATGGGAATATAGCATCTATCTGGCAGGATTCTGGTAAGAATAAATGAAATCGTGTATGGAGAATGTCCAGTTGGAGACCTGACACACACTAGGCACTACTGTACCACACTGTGTGTGGCGGGCACTCCTCTCCATGCCCTTACAATGAGCTGAATTATGGATGAGGAAACGAGACACATAGTTCCCTCACACTTAAGCTCAACAGACTGAGTCAGCTGAGCAGAAGGCTTTAAAGCAGTGAGAAATCCAGGCGGCATCTCGGTCACCCTGGAGGTCATCACTTCCCTATGCTTCTGGAAAGCCCTGTGCTGAGAGGCATGGATGAGTTAGCAGGTAGCATAGGCAGGCATTGTCTCCAGGGTATCCCAGGTCCCAGGGTACAGGAAGAGGTCTAAGGGCTACTGAGAGGCCACGGTGGCCTCTGGCCAGCACTCTTTCCAGTCTACAGATCACCGCCTAGCATCCTGGTGTCTGGTATTGGGGAAGGAGACCAGAGAAGACAGGAGAGATCTCTTTGACTCTCAGTTGGTCCCCACTGGGATCAGGGAGCAGACCCAGTGAGCATTTGGGACTGTCACTGTGGGCTCCTGTCTCCTCTCTCTATGTTCCTGTGTGCCTGGAGGTAACTGTGTTCATACCTGTAACCAGCAGGGGATGTCTATGTGAGAATATGAGGCTGTGTGTATTCCTGAGTGGACAGCCTGGTGGTCTGGGTGACCCTGCAAGAGTCCTTCCTGAGTCACTGTGACTTGCTTGAAAGGTGAGACTTAGGGTCACTGAGACCCACCAAGGTCGTAGGTGTTAAACAGGCGTGATAGAGGCTACGGAGGGGCACGGGAGAACTAACCTGTAGGTAGGGGATGACCTTGCACAAGGCATGGCCGAACAGCCACGATTCAGTGATGTCCACTAACAGACTGGCAGGCAGGCAGATGGCAGTTACCAGCACATCTGCCAGGGACAGGTTGACAATAAAGTAGTTGGTGACTGTCCTCATGTGGTGGTTCCGCCACACAGCCAGGCAGACTGCAGAGAGTGGGGGGGGGGGGAGGGGGGAGATAAGTCGGCATCAGCCAGGCCTATTCAGGCTCAGTGAGATACTGAGCTCCCATGCCCACCTCACCAGCAGGAAGGGGTATGAAGGCAAGGCCCCGCGGTCTCCCTCTAGTCCTCAGAGGACAGACACCTACCCAGCGTGTTGCCCACCAAGGCTATGAGGAACACGGCCACATAGGCTGCGATGAGAACCCACTCGTATTGCTTGGGGTAGAGATAGTCGCGCCACAGGTAGCGGAGGAACTCATCCTCATAGTCCGGAGGAAGGTGGAAGGGTTCCCCGCTGCCAGTGGGGACTCCGGGCTGGGTCCCGGGAGTGGCCGAGGGTTCCATGAGCTCTGGGGCCACTTCAGCTGAGGAGCATTCTGGGCTCTGTGGAGGAAGAGGAACTCCCACAAGCCCTCAGCCCACTCCCTTCAGGGGACTCTGGTCTTGCACCCAGGTCTTTGGGGTCCCGGTCCAAACTTTCTGAAGGAGAGAAGACTGGGAGGGAAGGAGAAAGGGATCCCGATCTTACCTCCCCTATTCAGCCTCGGTTTCCCCACTCAACGGAGTAATAAAGATACCTACCTCCCAGGGCCACGACGAGGAAAGTGAGCTCTAAGGCTTAGGGACTACTTCACCCAGAAGCCGGTATTGGGTATCATTATTAGTGAGCCCTGCTGTGCAGATGAGGAGATGTGAAGCTGAAAGGTTGAACCCCTTGCTCAAGGTCACAAAGCCAATCCAGGTCTGCCTGCGTCCTCCAGCCATCACAGATTTAGGAAAGGAATCCATTCCCAACAGCAAATATTCTCTCTTGAATCAGTTCTCAAGCCTTGATTAGGGGTTGGGGAAAGGGTTCGGGGAGAACTGAAGATCTAGGTTCCGCCCACTAGACCTGCCAGAGCCTCCTCGGTGCCCGTACACAGATGCGCGCACACACATACCCGAGAAGAATGCAAGAAGAGACTGACCACCTCCCTGGGAGAAAGGAAATAGTCCCCCCTCGCCTAGAAACGGGATTCTTAAGACCCCCTTGCTAGGTCTCCTGGAATCCCCGGGGCCGCGATGATCCCCGACGGCCGCCAGGGGTCGCTGAGCCGGCGCTCAGGCCGCTCTCCATTCATAAATCCAGCCTCGCTCAGGCCGCTCCCTCCTCCCTCAGACCCCCTCCTTCCCCTAGCTGGGTAGGGACGACCCTAGACTGGATTAGGAGGGTGGACGGCCCCTGGACAGCCCTAGAGGAGGGGGCAGAGACGCTGGCCTACCGATTTCCCAGATAGACCTCCCTGTTCCTTTAGGGGATCTGGGAGGATTCCTAGAAGGGGCATCAAGAGTGCTAAAGGGTTACGAGGGAGCCGCCCGGAGGTGAGCGGAGTGGGTGGTGGCGCAGCCTCCCACCACCCAGGTCAACCCCAGAGACTCCAGGTTTCCCCCGCCATCACCTGCCACTGCTCCTCTGGAACCCTCATGCCAGTCCTGAGGGATCCCCATACCCCGCACCTGTTGGCTCCCAGACCCGAGCATCATCGGTTGCTGGTACCTGGACCTTGCTCGCGGGACTTTGCCTTGGTGCGGGGGAAGGCCGGGACTGGGGACGCGGCGGGGTAGCCCCCTCCCGAGGCGAACTATCCGCTTCGTGGCTCCGCGGCCCCGGCTCCGCGCCCGTGGTAGCTCGGGAGGGCTCGGGAGGTCTGCTCGCAGTGGGGAGGGGAGCGGGGCGGGAGGCTGTGCAAGGAGGGGAGGGAGCCCCAGCCCGTCTGCGCTCGAGGTCGCCCAGCTCGAGCCCCGCCTAGTACTTCAAGCTTCCATCCACCTCCATTCACGCGTCCATTGGCTCATTCATACCGTGAGCACCCTTTCGACACTTAGGCTCCCGCCACCCTGCATTCAGCGCGCAACTAGGGCGTGTGTGGTGGGGGCGGCGTCGGGGACACAGTGCAGGGATGGACCCCACCTCTGCTCGCTGCCTCACCTGGCCAGTGAGGATGGCAGCACAAGTGGATGTCACGGAGGTGAAAGGATGCCGGTGGCGCCTCCAGGCAACCTCAGGACACGCTGGAGCCCCTTGTGTCCAGATATGTCAGAAAGCCCCCCCCCCATCTCTCCTGCGTCTCTCTGCCCCAAATCCTTGCTCGCACCTACTTCCCCTTCCTATAGCAAGGACGTGAGGTGGAGGCAGAAGAAGGGATGCTGGTGGTGTTCACTAATTGAATAAATATTTACCAAGCTCTGTGGCAAGCAACGAACCTATCTATGATACGGACGCCATTTCCACAGGCTACCCGTTGCACGAGCTCACTTAATCCCCACGTCAGCCTGGTGAGGTAGTTGCTATTGTTCCCATTTTACAGATAAGAGCTTGGATGCACACAGTTCTGGGCTCTGCCCAAGGTCAAAGGCAGCACTAGGGCTCGAACCTGTGTTCCACTCATTTTACCAGCACTCCGACCCCCAAGGCTCCTAGCCATGCAAAGGATCTAACCTTCAGGGAGTAAGATGGTTCCCTGTGGTGCCCACAAAGGTGGGAGAGGTCCCAGGCGACTGAAGAGCTCACCCAGGGATTCCAAGAGCAGCAATACCTGCTCAGAAACTTGAAGAATGACAAAGTGACCTAGAGGCTAAGGTAGAGTATGGGAGAAGGGGTCTTTAAGGAAGATGCAGCAGGTGGAAATGATTGCAAGTTAGGTCTCCTGGGAATCCTAGGCAGGTGGAGGGAGATCTTCAGGGGCCTTCGGACAGTCACATGGTTCACCTCCTGCCTCAGGACAGGACCTCCCAAGCAAGTAAGTCTCCTTTCTCTCAATCCCTCCACATCTTCCCTTTGCAGCCAGAACCACCTTCCAAGGTGCTGGAGATGCAGACAGGGAGTCTGTGAGCAGAGGGCTGGGGCCTCCACTCCAGAAGAATGGAAGTGCCAAAACTTGAGGCAGAACTTTGTCCTTGGGTAGCTGTGGCATTTGTATGCAAGATGGTGGAGCTAGGATCCCCCCCCCCCAATTTTTCAGGACAGGGTTTCCCTGTGTAGTCCTGGCTGTCCTGGAACTTGTTCTGTATACCAGGCTGATCTAGAACTCACGGAGATCTGCCTGCCTCTGCCTCTCAAGTGTTGGGATTAAAGGCATGCACCACCATTGCCCTGCAATGTCGAGATTCTAAAACTGTCCTGTCTGCTGCTTGAAGCAGGGATTGGATGAAGGACTTCCAAGAAAAGGGTTGTTGTGTTCGTGATGTATGTGTGTGTTAGAGCTTATGTATTCACAAAAAGTTATTAGGATATGTCTGTTGTCATGTGTATTTGTGTCTCTGTGCATGGGGGTAGGCTGCTGGGTGAAGACTGGGGTTCACTCTGGCTAAGATATATTCATATGGGTCTTGATTTGCCCCTGTTTTGGGCTCTGTGTCTAAGGACTGTGTGTGTGTGCATGTGTGTGTGTGTGGGGGGGTTGTCTGTCTCTGTGGGTCTCAGTGTGTATTTGTGGTTTTGACCATCATTTGCGCCTCAGTGTGTTTCCCAGCGAGTTTGGGAATGTGAGTGTACTCATGCCTTTGTGTCTACTGTTCTGTAAGTGTGACTGTGGAATTCAGGAGCCTGCTCCCATGGTGATGACTCCCCTTTTCACATTCTGCTCCCCCTCCCCCAATCTGGAGCTGTGACCATTTCCCATGCAGGGGTCCCAGAGGAGGCTACAGAATGTGGGGGATAGGAGGCAGATCATGCAAGGAAGGACACTCAGCTAACAGCTGCTGCAGGCAAGGTGCAGCCAGGGATGTGGAAGGTACAGATCCCTGCGTGGGCGGTGGGCAGCTCAGGCGCCACACTGACTCTATAGAGCTCAGAGCTGTGGATTGCAGTGAGCAAAGAGCCTCCATTCTCCCAAGTCAGTGTACACTAGGGATGCATTTGTCCACGTGTGTGGAGGGAGCCTGGCTGCTATTCTCTTTAAGCCCAGAGAACACCCAGTATTTTAGCGCTAGTCTCTGGCCCCCTGGCCAGGAATCTCCAGTTGTCCACTTCTCCCCCATTTATTCCTCTGTACCCTAGAGATGGCTGCTTCCCAAGACAAGAGTCATGAGGGACTCCTTAAGGTGGCAATCTCTGTTCTTTACCTATCAGACCCTGATCAACAGGAGACTGTGGGCCCCAGAACCATCTGGTCCTAAGTTGGGTACCCAAATTCAGCTATAGGTGGCTGATCATTGGGCCTAGATGAGCAAGAGAGAGAGAAACCTTGAATGCCTGCTTGAAGGACATCTGGGCGGAGCGTGCCCTGGAAGACCCACTGAAGCCACAGTTGTTTAGTTCCTAGGGCACAATGGCACTGGCCTCTGGGAGCTCCTGGCAAAATGCCAGTGCCCAAGGGAGACCAAGGACGTCAGGCTTCCTGTCTCTGGACTGGGCCATCAGCCCCCGATGCCTCCTCTGCTCAGGGAGGGCCAGCCTGAAACCTTGGCTTTGCTTGAGCTGTCTGTCAAACCGTGTCTGCATGACCTTTTTTCCTGGAACCAGGCAGCCCCCGCCTTGTTGATCTAATCCTGAGCCTCCAAGCCACAGGTCCCTGTCACATCCATCTTTAAGTGTCAGCCCAGGCACTGTCCTCAGGTGCTGGCTCATCCTCCCTCCCTCCCTCCCAATTCCAATGCGACTTACAGTAACCTCTGTCTGGCTAGGACTAGAGCAATTGAACAGTAATTGGTTTTGCAATTTGTGGATGCCACAAGCCTGGCTGAGGGTGGGCAGCTGTGACCGGGGGTCAGAAATTCTGTTTAAAAGGCACAGTTAAGAAGTGGAGGGTAGGTTCGGGTGCAGGGCTCTATTGTAGTTCAGGAAGGGGATTTCAAGGACTGGGAGACTAGGGAAGTCACTGAGGTAGCTATGAAGTTTTTGGTCCCTAAGTACAACGACAATAACCTCTGGGGAGGGCTAGCCAAGTAGTCAATGCTCTAGGGTGATACCCAGATACCTCATGTCCTCAGCATCTCTGTAGGATGTCCTCATCCCTTACAGGAAAAGTTTCCTACTTCAGGCCTGGAGGCTAAGAAGGACCAGCAGGCATTAAGAAGGGAGGGACCCAAGGTCTGGAATCAGAACCCTTTGAGACTTAGAAAACATTTTCCACACAGGGGTGGGGCAGGAGAAGAGGCTTGCTCACCCAGCTACTTGCTCAACAAACCCTGAGGGCCATGCAACAGCAGATGGAACCCTGCAGCTCAGACCGGAGAACCCCTTACATAGAGATGGTTGGGTGGGGTCGGATGCATGGAGTTATTGTGTGGAGACAGACTCTGTGCAATGAGTTTAGGACCCACAATGTGATTCCAAGTGGAAAACCAGAAAGGCGTGGCTTAGAAGCCAGCTCAGTACTCCCTGAGGTATGCTCCTGAAAAGTCACTCTGTGTCCCTAGAACTCTGTAATAGGTTAGATAATAGCTCAAATGGAGTGCCCTAACCTGACACAGCACTCAGCAGATGAGCAGTTGTGAGTTTGTGCAAGGCCTTTGGGTTCTGCCCCTAACACTGACAAAAGGAGGTTGAAGGCTAAGGTGGAGGAATCTGAGCGTTGGAGTCTGAGGATGTAGTTCAGTGGCAGAGTAATTGCTTAGCATGCACAAGGCCCTAGGGTTCTACACTTAGCACTTCAAAAACAAAAATAAAGCCCACACCACAACCCCCGGAACCAGACAATGAATCCCACAGTCAAGAAGGCTGTGCAGACACAGACACGACTCCATTATAAGGCTGTTGAAGCGGTGAGATAGTGCTAAATACCCAGGTGTCTTCTAAGAGAGAATCAGGAGCCTCAGACAGGCGGCAGGAAGGAGGCCGGGGCTGAGTGACACCAGTGTGGGTAGAGACTGCAGCTACACACCAAGGACAGCCTACAGTCTGTGAGCCTGGAACAGTGAGGGAATTAGTCCTCAGAGCCTGGAGAAGCTGTTCAGCCTCGCTGATCACTCGGTCTTCCCTCTCAAGAACTCATTTGGCTGTGGGCCCTCAGCCCTGGAGAAGATCAGCTTACAATGCTTCAAGCCAATACATTTGTGATAATCTGCCAGAGCGTGCATGGTCTCTCTCTCTCTTTCTCTCTCTCTCTCTCTCTCTCTCTCTGTCTGTCTGTCTCTCTCTCTCTCTCTCTGTCTGTCTGTCTCTCTCTCTCTCTCTCTCTCTCTCTCTCTCACACACACACACACACACACACACAGAATCATGTTGCTGGTTAAGGTCAAACCACAGAAGCTTGTTTTTTCCATAGGGAGGCTTGTGGCAGGACTTCCCTAGACCAGGAGGATGTGTAGAGTGGCAAGGTAAAGACTGACACCCTTAGCTGCATGATCTTTCAGCATTAGTTTCACATTTTAAATTCCCAGTGGTGCTATCAAACAAGCTCATGCTTAACTTGTGGTCTGGGTCTGCTTGTATGTCGAGCACATGCTAATGCTTGGGGCTGTGAGAACTCTAAATTATGAAATAACTAATATTAAGTTAGGGTTACTATTGCTATGATGGAACACTGTAACCAAACGTGACTTTATTTGGCTTACATCTCCTAAGTCACAGTTCATTGAGAGAAGCCAAGGCAGGAACTCAAACTGAGCAGAAACCTAGAGTTGATGCAGGAGTTTCAGGAGTTGATGCAGAAGTCATAGAGGAGTGCTGTTTTATCGGTTTATTCAGCCTGCTTTCTTTTGGA